AAGGGCTAAAGAAGATAGTAACGGATATCCAAGGGCTAAAAGAAGATATTAACGGATATCCAAGGGCTAAAGAAGATAGTAACGGATATCCAAGGGCTAAAAGAAGATATTAACGGGTATCCAAGGGGCTACAAGAAGATAGTAACGGATATCCAAGGGCTAAAAGAAGATAGTAACGGGTATCCAAGGGCTAAAAGAAGATAGTAACGGGTATCCAAGGGCTAAAAGAAGATAGTAACGGATATCCAAGGGCTAAAAGAAGATAGTAACGGATATCTAAGTGCTAAAAGAAGATAGTAACGGATATCCAAGGGCTAAAAGAAGATAGTAACGGATATCCAAGGGCTAAAAGAAGATAGTAACGGGTATCCAAGGGCTAAAAGAAGATAGTAACGGGTATCCAAGGGCTAAAAGAAGATAGTAAAGGGTATCCAAGGGCTAAAGAAGATAGTAACGGGTATCCAAGGGCTACAAGAAGATAGTAACGGATATCCAAGGGCTAAAAGAAGATAGTAACGGATATCCAAGGGCTAAAAGAAGATAGTAACGGGTATCCAAGGGCTAAAAGAAGATAGTAACGGATATCCAAGGGCTAAAAGAAGATAGTAAAGGGTATCCAAGGGCTAAAGAAGATAGAAACGGGTATCCAAGGGCTAAAAGAAGATAGTAACGGATATCCAAGGGCTTAAAGAAGATAGTAACGGGTATCCAAGGGCTACAAGAAGATAGTAACGGGTATCCAAGGGCTAAAAGAAGATAGTAACGGGTATCCAAGGGCTAAAAGAAGATAGTAACGGGTATCCAAGGGCTAAAAGAAGATAGTAACGGGTATCCAAGGGCTAAAAGAAGATAGTAACGGATATCCAAGGGCTAAAAGAAGATAGTAACGGATATCCAAGGGCTAAAGAAGATAGTAACGGATATCCAAGGGCTAAAAGAAGATATTAACGGGTATCCAAGGGCTAAAAGAAGATAGTAACGGATATCCAAGGGCTAAAAGAAGATAGTAACGGGTATCCAAGGGCTAAAAAAGAAGATAGTAACGGGTATCCAAGGGCTAAAAAGAAGATAGTAACGGATATCCAAGGGCTAAAAGAAGATAGTAACGGATATCTAAGGGCTAAAAGAAGATAGTAACGGGTATCCAAGGGCTAAAAGAAGATAGTAACGGATATCCAAGGGCTAAAAGAAGATAGTAACGGGTATCCAAGGGCTAAAAGAAGATAGTAACGGGTATCCAAGGGCTAAAAGAAGATAGTAACGGGTATCCAAGGGCTAAAAGAAGATAGTAACGGGTATCCAAGGGCTACAAGAAGATAGTAACGGATATCCAAGGGCTAAAAGAAGATAGTAACGGATATCCAAGGGCTAAAAGAAGATAGTAACGGGTATCCAAGGGCTAAAAGAAGATAGTAACGGGTATCCAAGGGCTAAAAGAAGATAGTAACGGGTATCCAAGGGCTAAAAGAAGATAGAAACGGGTATCCAAGGGCTACAAGAAGATAGTAACGGATATCCAAGGGCTAAAAGAAGATAGTAACGGGTATCCAAGGGCTAAAAGAAGATAGTAACGGGTATCAAGGGCTACAAGAAGATAGTAACGGTTATCCAAGGCTAAAAGAAGATAGTAACGGGTATCCAAGGGCTAAAAGAAGATAGTAACGGATATCCAAGGGCTAAAAGAAGATAGTAACGGGTATCCAAGGGCTAAAAGAAGATAGTAACGGGTATCCAAGGGCTCACAGAAGATAGTAACGGGTATCCAAGGGCTAAAAGAAGATAGTAACGGGTATCCAAGGGCTAAAAGAAGATAGTAACGGATATCCAAGGGCTAAAAGAAGATAGTAACGGGTATCCAAGGGCTAAAAGAAGATAGTAACGGATATCCAAGGGCTAAAAGAAGATAGTAACGGGTATCCAAGGGCTAAAAGAAGATAGTAACGGGTATCCAAGGGATAAAAGAAGATAGTAACGGGTATCCAAGGGCTAAAGAAGATAGTAACGGATATCCAAGGGCTAAAAGAAGATATTAACGGATATCCAAGGGCTAAAAGAAGATAGTAACGGATATCCAAGGGCTAAAAGAAGATATTAACGGGTATCCAAGGGCTACAAGAAGATAGTAACGGGTATCCAAGGGCTAAAAGAAGATAGTAACGGGTATCCAAGGGCTAAAGAAGATAGTAACGGGTATCCAAGGGCTAAAAGAAGATAGTAACGGGTATCCAAGGGCTAAAAGAAGATAGTAACGGATATCCAAGGGCTAAAAGAAGATAGTAACGGATATCCAAGGGCTAAAAGAAGATAGTAACGGATATCCAAGGGCTAAAAGAAGATAGTAACGGGTATCCAAGGGCTAAAAGAAGATAGTAACGGATATCCAAGGGCTAAAAGAAGATAGTAAAGGGTATCCAAGGGCTAAAGAAGATAGAAACGGGTATCCAAGGGCTAAAAGAAGATAGTAACGGATATCCAAGGGCTTAAAGAAGATAGTAACGGGTATCCAAGGGCTAAAGAAGATAGTAACGGGTATCCAAGGGCTCACAGAAGATAGTAACGGGTATCCAAGGGCTAAAAGAAGATAGTAACGGGTATCCAAGGGCTAAAAGAAGATAGTAACGGATATCCAAGGGCTAAAAGAAGATAGTAACGGGTATCCAAGGGCTAAAAGAAGATAGTAACGGATATCCAAGGGCTAAAAGAAGATAGTAACGGGTATCCAAGGGCTAAAAGAAGATAGTAACGGGTATCCAAGGGCTAAAAGAAGATAGTAACGGATATCCAAGGGCTAAAAGAAGATAGTAACGGATATCCAAGGGCTAAAAGAAGATAGTAACGGGTATCCAAGGGCTATAAGAAGATGGTAACGGGTATCCAAGGGCTAAAAGAAGATAGTAAAGGGTATCCAAGGGCTAAAGAAGATAGTAACGGGTATCCAAGGGCTAAAAGAAGATAGTAACGGGTATCCAAGGGCTAAAAGAAGATAGTAACGGGTATCCAAGGGCTAAAAGAAGATAGTAACGGGTATCCAAGGGCTAAAATAAGATAGTAACGGATATCCAAGGGCTAAAGAAGATAGTAACGGGTATCCAAGGGCTACAAGAAGATAGTAACGGGTATCCAAGGGCTAAAAAAGTAAGTACACTAAGATAGCAAAGTACTAAAAACTCGAGTCGCGTTGCGCACATTTTTTGCGCAGTTCTAAAGTTTTCAAAGATGGCGGAAAGGTATCCGATATTCTGTTGTCTTTCCATATCCTAATACAGACCTTCGAGCTGCCACTATGAGTGGCAATGAGTATTGTTTTACGCCGCATGAGCAATTTTCCAGCAATATCATGGCGGGGACACCAGAAATGGGCTTCACACATTGCATCCATGTGGGAATCGAGCCCAGGTCTTCGGCGTGACGAGCTAACGCTTTAACCACCAAGCTACCTCACCACCATGCTGTCAGCACCAAGCTACTGACTATGCATGATTGAGATGAGTGGCTCAGTCGTCTAATGCGACCAGTTCACAGGGCCCAGTTGCCTCCCTTGCGCGTACCAGAAACCTATGTTTCTCCTTCTTTGTTTTCCGTATTTCACCAAGGATGTAAATACTTAAGGTCATTTCGTTATTTTGTCCAACACGAAGCTGACACACCATGATGAAGCTCAAATACTGCTCAGAGCGGTGTTAGAAGAAGTTCGCTCACTCACAATGTCAACGGAGATAGTTATTTACACTAAAACGACACTGTGTAGCGACCGGAACTGGGATATACGATCCACAATTTCATAAACTCCACGTGGAGGGAAATTTGGCTCCATGTTCCAGATGTGGTAATTAGTCACTTCTGTGGCCACTTCTGTACTGATGGTTACTTGTGTGTTATTGGTCACTTGTGTGTTATTAGTCACTTGTGTGTTGTTGGTCAATTGTGTGTTATTGGTCACTCGTGTCTCTTTGGTCACTTGTGTGTCGTTGGTCAATTGTGTGTCGTTGGTCACTTGTGTCTCTTTGGTCACCGTGTGTTATTAGTCACTTGTGTGTTGTTGGTCACTTGTGTGTTATTGGTCACTCGTGTGTTATTAGTCACTTGTGTGTTGTTGGTCAATTGTGTGTCGTTGGTCACTTGTGTCTCTTTGGTCACTTGTGTGTCGTTGGTCACTTGTGTGTCTTTGGTCACTTGTGTGTTATTGGTCACTTGTGTGTCGTTGGTCACTTGTGTGTCGTTGGTCACGTGTGTTATTGGTCACGTGAGTGTTATTGGTCACTCGTGTGTTATTAGTCACGTGTGTGTTATTGGTCACTTGTGTGTTGTAAGTCACTCTCCTTTGGGGTGGGTGCTCACCCCCAGCCCTCATTAGATGCACTATTTTAAACTCCGTACTTAAAATGTACACGTATACCAGACTGGCTGAAATAATGCCGATACCGCGTAATACTCAACTCAACTGGTTAGAGGCTTGATCTGCCTTGAAACCTTCCCAATGGCCTCAAAACCCCGTCCTACACCTAAAGTCCTATTACGAGCGCTTCGTTTCTCATGCACCGTCGTATTATACTGTCTAACTGTGGAAACGTATAGTGTTCTTTGCGAGGTAATTTCAATCATACACACACAGAAGACAAAACAGGTTTGTGGTAGCGAGATCTGGAGGCATGCAGCATTACGATAATAATGTGGAGTTTGAATCCCCGTTCATGTGTCATAGGCTTCCGTTCAGTTGTAGGGGCGGTGGTGCGGCTTAGTGTTTAAAGCGTTCGCTCGTCACGCCGGGTTCGATTTCCCCATGTGAAGACGTTTTGTGGTGTCTTCCGCCGTGATGCTGCTGGAATATTGCTAAAATTGGCGTAAAAGCCTATTCACTCACGCCATCCAGTCAAAATCAGCTATGCGGTTTTAAATACCGTGTGTATACCCCTCTCCGCCTACTTGTACAAAAGCCCGACATAAGGTTTGTACACTCAACAACGAAACAAATAATAAGGTCAAAATATGCTTTATTTTCGAAACTGAATGGTGAAAATAGTGTATACATTTCGTTCAGTTGAATTTTCATATGTACCGAGAAACTAGTCTATGTGACAAACGTTTACTATAACACGAATTTTTCATATAATGACCAAGTTTATGGATAACAACTTCTTATATTTGCGACGCTGATGCTAGTACCATTGTCAATTTGGAATGTTATCCATAAAATATGTCATTATTGCACTTTCCCAACTTCTAAAATGCCATTCAAAGAAAAAGACTTTCATATGTAATGATATTTGCTAGCTCAGTTATGAGACTAGAAGTCCTGTCTAGCGTTGAAACTGAAATTTCCAAAGTTGAAGATTTCTTCTCATTTTAATTCACAATGTAGGATAACGGTGCCTTTGGCTCATAAGAATCTCATTTTTGGAAAGCAATGTCGAAAAACATGTACTTAAAATCATTGTTTTGGTTCTTGACGGACATTTAGCATTTTCTTTTCAATTTCACACTTTTAATTCATTTCAACATGAGACCCTACCACACGCTGTTACATTCGGGTAACAAATGTGGAGAAGATATCACGTGAAATGTCCCCCTATGGTTCTGGCGTCATCATCATTCTCAGAACTGTCTCCAACATACAACGTCTATTCCAAGGCAAATATTATCTATTTAAACAAACAACTGCGAAACATTTAAAAAACGTTTAAAAAGGTTTTCCCTGACATAATGTACTTTTAGTTTTTTAAGCCAAAAAAGGACCCTTTGATGCCCCTTAGTTATTCAGAAAAATGATAACATTCCTAAAATGAGCAGGATTGTCAAGCCGAGTGACGTCTGACAAGAACGGCCAGCACCTGCAACATGAACCATGTAAACATCATTCCAGAATCATTCACCTGCCGAGAAACTAAGATAGGGAGAGAATGTTACGATGGAAATCGGAACTGTTAAGAACAGAGCTTCGTAACAAACATGAAAATTGATTTGTAAGGTCATTTAGGAAAAACAAAGGTGGAACAAAACATTTAACTCGAAGAAGATTCTGAAAAATGGGCCAATTAAGATACTGTTTCAAAGTAGACTTTTATCTGTCAATCAATTAATCACTTTATTCTCAAATAACCACGTTTGGTGGTACAAGAGCTACAATTATTTTATATTACAAAAACAAATGAAACAGATGCATAATAATAAATAGTATATATAAATACAAAATATTATACAAGATGGCTGTAGCTAGTCTAACAGTTTCTTATAAGGGATGATACTTTGTATACAATACCCATTTATAAAATTAAAATTGTTGAAATAATTAAAATAGCGTGAAGCGTGAGTATAATATACTACACATGATTTTCCCAATAGCTTTGTAGTTGGTTCTGTTATTTTTTGCTTTGTTGTTTCTTCTTCTAATTATCTGTTTATCACTTTTGTCAAACTTTATTAAGACATATACATACCACGGTTCGGAGTGGTCGATGTTGTCATAGCTGTCCCCGGGGCAGTAAGAGTACTCCCTGTTGACGGAGGAACCCTCCAGTTGAACCAGGAGTGACAGACCCCACCCCCGATGTTACCGTCGTCCCGTTTCCGTCAGGAAAAGCATCTTCAAAACATACAGCACGTCAGTGAAATAGAATGGAATTATTTGCAGGCTGTTACAGTGAATATGTCTTGAACTTCCATTATTTTAAGAAAGACACAATTTGAGAAAGAAAGAGATATCATTGCCCTTGCATGTTTCCATATCACAAATACTACATATTACTGCAATAAATAACCATTGTGCTTTCATAGCTTCATTCCTAATTTACGATGGGCGTGTGGGATAGTCTAGTGGTTAAAGCGTCCGCTCGTCAAGCCTAAGACCTGGGTTTGATTCCCTACATGGGCACAATATGTGACGCCCATTCCTAGTACCCCTGTCATGATATTGCTGAAATATTGCTATAAAAGTGGGCGGTGTAAAACCCAACTCACTCACTCATTCAGTATGTGATGATGTCGATAAGACAACATCCTCTTAGCTTACTATCTCTATGTGAACAACCGGAAGTAGACCACACATGCGCATATCAAAGCGTGACGTCATCAATATAACCAAACTCATTCACTCCTTATAAGGTGGGGCGGTAGCCTAGTGGTTAAGTCGTTAGCACGTCAACCCGAAGACCACACGGGTACAATGTGTGAAGTCCATTTCTGGTGTTCTCCGCCGAGATATTGCTGGAATATTGCTAAAAGCGACGTAAAACTAAACTCACCCACTCACTCCTTATAAGGGAAAGGGACACAAATGGTTCAGTCGTCTAAGGCCGTGAGAAGTTGCGTCCCTTTGTCGTGTCAGGAACCCATGTTGGTGATTTTGAATACCGGTCTTCCCACCGGGCTTCGTTTATTTGTTTACTTTATTGTGCAAAGTGACAATCCGCTGATGAGTCATGATCCTACAGAACTATTGTTCACAGTCCTATTGTTCACAAACCTAACTGACGAGGAAGACAGTCAATTTTGTTAATCATAAAATATTTCATAAAAACACAGACTTACATGAGCAGTTGAGTTTGTTAAGTTGCAGTCTTGCAAATTTGATGGCCTCGTACAATCCGAACGCCTGGGTGGTTGAACAGTTCAACCTCACCCGATCCAAACAGTCCAACCCGAAATACAGCGCCCTGCAATGAAGGTCAAGGACGCCGTTGTATTCAAAGGAAGTCCTCTCACCCTATCTCTCTTTTGCAGGATAGCCCGATATGGCCTAGGATTTAGATTGGACATTCTTATCAACACCATCCTGGTCAGATCTAAAACGTGCACTTCCTGCAGGACGTAACGAAAAGTTTGTATACGCGACTACCGCCAAGAAGAATGCTTTGAGCAGGGCGTAATTAAGTGATCAGCCGTCAGGTCACGGACAGAACGTAAATTTGGTCACGTGACTACAGACGTACATCACGGCGATCCATGGATAAATACCAATGAAAGACTTTACGTCAGTGTCAAGCAGGACAACTTTCGGTTGCAATTACACCAACCTCTTCGTGGAGAATGATCTGTCACTCCATTACGCGTCACCCACAAGCCCCTTGGTACTATGGGCATACGTTGCGGTACAATACTCTTGTCAATGATTGACACAGGCGGTACGAGTCTTACGGCTGCAGTACAATTCCCAGTTTCATTAACTGTATAACTTTGTAATATCCTTAAAACACACATGTGTCCAGCTTATTGGTTCGTTATAACCTTGTAGAAGTATCAGAATGAATCGCATGAAAACCACACGAGGAGATCTGATGGTCAGGCTCGCTGACTTTGATGCGATAACTGATGCTCGTGGTGTCAATCACCGGATTGTCTGGTTCAGAGTCAGTTCTTAACGGACTGCCCCAATACAGTTAAAATGTGTCAGTGAGGAATAAACTAGAGAAATAGTACCAAACCATGCGTTTCTTTTTGGGGTGAGTATATATGGCTATGAAACATATTACCTGCACTCCTTCGTGGCATCTTTTGCAGCTGCTGTGTAGTTCGCATGTGTCATCATGCCACACTCTAAGTGTCCGGGACACAGGTCAGCGACGGGGTTACCTCTGACTACAGCGGCCAGCCCTATATATACACAACACAACGAATTACCATGCATGTACACAGTCATATAGGCACTCTACAACATTGCCACATAGGCTTTTGGGTTTGTTGTTTAACGCCGCACTCAGCAATATTCCAGCTATATGGCGGCGGTCTGTAAATACACATGTAATCGAGTCTGGACCAGACAATACAGTGATCAACAGCATGAGCGTCCTACATAATTAGGAACCGATGACATGTGTCAACCAAGTCGGCGAACCTGACCATCCGATCTCCTTAGTCGCCTCTTACGACAAGCATGGGTTACTGTAGATCCCTGATCTTCACGGGTCTGATGCCACATAGGGAGGACAGTCTACAGATACAACACAAATCGAACCTTCACTTGGAGGAGAGACTGAGTATGGTTTTACGCCGCTTTTAGCAATATTCCAGCAATATCACAGCTGGGGACACCAGAAATGGGCTTCACACATTGTACCCATATGGGGAATCGAACCCTGGTCTTCAGCGTGACGAGCGAAAGCTTTGACCATTAGGCTACCCCACCGCCCCCTTTCACTTGGAAGTGTACCTGTACAGATTGCACTATAAAAGCTGTCAGAATTGATGTATGGCTATATAAGGAATACATTAAACCGCTGAGATAGCCTTAACTGGACATTTCTATTTAGAACATGTACTGACCAGTCTGTGCCGGTTTGGGGACATATTACAGCTGAAAAAATTATTTATTGCCTAATCAAGCCAACAATTCCCGTGTCGATTCTTACATATCAGGGCAGTTGCAGACGTTACTTAACACAAAACAGTTCAATGAGTCAGTTTTTGTAGAGACTGGGCGTTCTCCTGCCTCCAGCATTTCACAATATCATTACACCTCACGTTTCAAGGAGACCAGTGTCGTGTGAGGATCTGGGCACTCAGCCTGGACCCGTTTTAGAGCTTGACCACTCTTGCGATGAAGAATGTCGTTATTGCAGTAATTACTGCTTTTTGTATTATGTTCATGAATTTGTACTGACGATTCATTGTAATTCCATGTTTTGATTTGCAAATTTTGTTCACTTTAGACTACAATAGTTAATTATGTCACAAATCTAGGATGTTTTTTGGTTTCAACTTCAAGGTCTTTTCGGGACCGAGTTTCCCGTTAAGTTATAGTTTCAACTTGAGAATCAACACGCAACAACAGCAATACTTTACTTCAAAACCGCATTTAGACATTTATAATTAAGAGGTTAACAGATTTGTCGTCAGAATATGTTCAAAGGAAATCATTTTTTTTAAACTAAGGGGCAAAAGTCGCTGTTTGGCGTGTCCCGGTTTAACAGGTGTTGGTAATTACATACCCATTACACAGGAGTTGACAGTACTTTAAGGCCCCTTTGCGCCTAGACGGAACCCATTCGGGAAAACAGCGAACCGCTATTCGGCTTGCGTCGGAATAACGCCCGTTGGACACTAATGACAACAGTGGCGCTAATTAGTAACGGGCAACTCACATACATAGAACGACAACCATTGGCATGCGGACGTTTCTACAGATTTCACTGGCTTCAAGTTTCGCATAATGTCGAGCTGAATATTGAAGTACCATGTTTTGTAAAACTATCACGTGTCGAACGAAACTGCTGGGGGCGTTTAGTTCACGAACACCACAAATAAAAAATGTTATGTTTCGGAATACAATTTTTCTCAATACAGTACAGAGTCGTGTACTGTTTTGTGTTGAGTCCCATCTAGGATTCGAACCCACACGTTCAGAGTAAAGCATCTTATCGCCAGCAGACAATCAACCAACTGACCCACTACACATGAACTATTTATTCACGAAAAATACAGCTTACTATCTGAAAATAATTTGGGCCGGTGAATTTTGGGTTGAGAAATATTGATGACAACGTAGTTCCTTTAATTCCTTTTGGATCTGTCTTAAAACTTCCGATATTCAAATGTGATTAATTATCAAAAATGTATTAAATGTGAATATTAGCAGAACATAACTCCAGATTCAAAGACAGGTGAACAGTTAGTATTTTGTCAAGTCACCATGGGCAGCAATGCAGGCTTCAATGCGGCGGGGCATACTACTGATCAAAGAATTAGAAAGTCGTGGTCCATGCTGTCCCAATATCGGACCACCTCTTCTTTCATTTCAGCAATATTTGTCAGATTTTTCTTATTGGTACTTTCCTTCAAACAATGTTTTAAGTCCCCAAACATTGTCTATTGGATTTAGGTCAGGGCTATAGCTTGGCCAATCTAATAATGTCATATTTTGGGTCCGACACCAGGCCTGTGAATGCTTTGATCGATGTTTTGGGTCGTTGTCCTGCTGGAAAATCCATTTCCATAGAACACGTGAGCAGATGGAAGTAAATGTCCCTCGAGAATATCTGTGTACCGCTCACTGTTCATATTCCCTTCAAATACACAGAGGGGCGTTGCCCCTAACACAGATATGCCACCCCACACGTTAAATTTCGGACTGTATTTTGGGCGCTGATACAAAGGTTTTTCAGTTTGTTTGGTCCAGAATTTCAGTGTATTAAGAAACAGCCACACAGAACTTTCATCTGAGAAAATCACATTGTCCCAGTTAAAATTTCTATGCTGTAAGCACCAGTTCAACCTTCGCTCCTTTTGTTCAGGTTTCATGATCGGTTATGGAATTCCTCGACTTTTCTGCCAACCCATTGCATGCAGCTCAGTTCTAATTGTCTCCTATCACATATCCAGCCTTACGTTTTCTAAACTCCTTCGTTTGTTTTTAGAAACAAGAATACCAAGCCGCCTCCTGTCACCGACAATCAATTTTCTGGGCCTACCTGCGCCTCCCTGGTGCTCAATGCTATATCCATTTGCAATATTTTTCAAAACACCATAAACAGTGGACAAAGAGATGCCTGTTCTACTGGAAATCACTTTAGCTGATCTGATGTCCTTGTTATATTACTCAACTTCCTCTTCTCTAAATCATCCATACTGAGTATCTCTGAAAATGTCGTCTGCGAGCAAGTAAACAAAGGGGATAACTCTTCACAAACTAATGAAAAAGGATTAACGGAGTTGTCTTTCTTGAATGAAAGCACGCACTTGATAGCTGGTCAAGGTTGTTTATACTAGAAATCCAATTAAACATATTCCTAAAATTCTCAATAATTTCTGATCATACTATAGTTATGTAACTGTACGCCAACTTGCAGTTTACAGTGATTGATAGAAGGCAGTTCGATGGAAATGACTGCCTCTTTTGTCATCATTATAAGAAAGCTTTTTAGGTTAAAATAAATATTTCATATCACTAGCTTCTCTATTTAAGAATCCGTAGATGACAAAAAATAAATCTTAACGATATCGATACCATAAACTTGATCGATAACACAAAAGTCTAAACAGTCGTTCTCAATAAAAGTGGCCAGTTGCAGTCGACGAGTTTGCAGGATGCGATTCATGAAACCAAATGCACTTTTTGATCTTTAAATACTTTAATAATAACAAGTAAAGTATAGGAAACACGAAAAGCAAGAAAACTAACCAGTCATTTAACAAATGCTTAGCATGGATTGACATACATGTGGACGGGGTACGGTTTTTCTGGTGTCGGTGAGTGGGTGTCCGCCCGGGAAAGCCACATTTGAAAAATACCAATTGCCGCTGAAGCCACATTTCGAGTACAAACCTCCGTGCCGCGAATCGCCGCGAAAGCCACAATGAGTAAGGGAATCAATGCCGCCTTTTCAAATAAGCGTCCCCCATTGATCACAATGGATTAAAATTGTTTTAGTGACTTGTCCTTTGTTTGTTTACTTAACATATGATGAGCGGCTTCTATGTTCTGAGATAAAATGATACATGCTAAGAGGTCATTCTATGGAAACGGGCAATTTCAGCTTTTGCTCTCAAGAAAATGTTATTTGTATTTTGTATGTCTTCATGTAAACTACTTCGATTTGTATGATTGGTATATTGCGTCAGCAGGGAAGTTTGGACAAGCATTTTCCATTAAATTTATTGTGACGTTTCAACTTTAAATCAAAATGTCATTACCGTAACGGCGGCAAATATACTAATTTTGGAAAATCTAGTCATAAATTTTACTTAAAAACAGCTATGAAATGGAAAGAGTTACGTGTCACATATGTGTCTGTTTATAATTATATTTGCGCAATAAATGGTCATTCTTCTCAATCGCAGAACCCGGATGATCACTTCAGATAAACAAAATGTGATTTACGTTTTGTATTTTACGTTTAATAGACAGTTAGAATGGTCCATGACGTCACATGGGAAACCCCAAAGACACCAAAAATCACGTGTTGGTATCCCTTTGAATTTCTGCATGCGAACAGAGCAATGCTCAGTCTATGGACTCCATTGTCGATCATGCCACTTTTCACCCTAACGTATATTACTAAAGATGGTACGTAAATTTCATACAGATATTTCTTACGGAATCATTACTTAAGAGTGAGTGAGTGAGTGAGTTGGGTTTTACGTCACACTCAGCAATATTCCAGCTACACTGTATATGTCAGCGGTTTGTAATTAATCGAGAGTGGACCATACAATCTAGTGATCAACAGCATGAGCATCGATATACGCTATTGGGAACCGATGTCAGCGTGCCTGTCAACCCAGTCAGCGTGCCTGACCACATGGCCAGGACCAGGATCGGCATGGTCATATCTAGCCCTGGCAGATATAGAGAATTCACACCCAGTGTCTTCTGATATCAATTATATCAACACGAGTTGATAAAGTTACAAATATCCGAGGCTTGCCGAGGATATTTTTACTTTATCAACGAGTGTTGATATATTTGATATCAGAAGACACGAGGGTGAGATTCTATTTATCATCCAAAATCACTTTTCATTAATTTTCAATGAAAAATGTACATCTCTGAACATGGTATTGTCATTAGACTTGCAGTGCAGCGATGTCATAGCATTGTGACGTCATCAAGTACATGACGTGAGAGCATTGTCAGGGCATTGTACAAAATCTACTGT